GGCGAATCTTCGATATTTTCAAAAATAAAAGCCGATGCTTGTACAACAATATGAATGCACTTAATTATGCCATTCAGGTGTAAACTTAAAAATTATTAAAATGGTAAATTTTATGTTGTGCCTATTTTGCCATAATATAAATAAATAAAAGTTGAACTACAGATTTCTAGATATTGGAATCAGCAAACAAGGACATTACAATTACTGATTAGTATGTTCAAGAAATCAGAATAAAAGGTACATAGATCAAATGAAAATAAGTAGAATTTCAACTGTGAATTGGAACCTATGAAATGAATTAAATGTGCATTCTGAATGAAAAATGCAATATCAGAATCAAAGAACTCATGATATAAGTTTAACAGCAGACTAGACACAGTCGTTTAGCGGTAGGATTATTGGAGATCACTAGACAGTATGCAAAGAGAAGCAAAGGAGAAAAAAAAGAAATGGGAAAAGACCCATATATGTGAGTAATAACTAAAGAGTCTAATGTCTGCAAAATTGAAACCCCAGAGGGAGAGAGAGAGAAATATTTGAAAATATTTTTAAAAATAATGGTAAGATATTCCAGAATTGCTAAACATATCAATGCAGAAATTTAAGAAGCTCAGATCCCAAAGAAAATTACATGCATACAGATGTATCATAATCAAACACCTGAAAATCTAAGACAAAGAGGAAATCTTTAAGCAGCCAGAGAACAAAACAAAAACAAAAACAAAAAACCACAACCTTCAATGAAGGAACAATTAGTTGGGAAAAGACAGTCTTCAATACAGGTTGCTGAATCAGTTGGATAACCACAGTAATATGAAAGAAAAATCTACTTATCCATGCAAAACCAACCTGACTGAGTCTCTCAGACTTTACGTCAAGGGAGAAAAATCCAGACACGTAAGAATTCATAATGTGTCATTCAATTTCTATGAAGTTCAAGAACAGACCAGACTAATCAACAGTGTTTGAAATCAGAGTAGTGGTTACCTCGATGCAGAATAGGTATTGACTGGGCAGGGACAAGAGAGAAATTACTGGGAGAGTTAAAAATATTCTATATCTTGATTCAAGTGGGGTTTACACACACACACACACACACACATGCATGTGTATGTATGTGCATGTGTGCATGTGTATAACTGATTTATCAAATTGCACAGTTAAAATCTCTATGACATCTCAATAAAAAAATAAATGTAAGAAATTACTGTATATTTGTATATTTGTCCTTTACTTATACCTATTTAAATTTGTTTTGCAAACTGAATGCAGAAAGGAGCTAGGCAGAAAGTATAAATGAATATGGCCAATTGTATTGTTCTCAATTATTCATTGCCCTTATTGTAGTGTTTTATATATTCTCACTACGTCCATATGACTTGTAGGACTTCTCTTTGGAGGACGTGTACTTCCTCGCCCCACTGGTGTCAGGGCGGCCTTTGTGATTTGCTTTGGCCAACAGAATGTGAACAAAAATGACATATACCACGTCTGAGCAGAAGCATTAAAAGCCAATGCCTCATGAGCCCATTTTTCTTTTCCTTCTATAAGAACGGCATATTCCAAATGGGGGCTGCCCCATCAGCTTGGATTCTGGAACCTGTAGCCATCACAGACAATGTAGTTTGAGAAGGAAGTCAGCCAATGTTGGTGTAAGACACTGAGAGTCTGAGGTTTTATTAAAGTGCAACGTAAGCTGACGGCTGCAAACATCAGGTGGAAGAATTGGCTTACTCAAGAAAGCCCACCTGTCCTAAGGGACAGCCAGTCTTCAGCTCCAGGGATCTATGTGCGAATGCAAGCTCACTCTTGGCAGGTCTTTGTGTTGTTTAAGAGGAACCAGGTTTTTAATTAAATCCCTCTTGATTTTTAATTTATATATACTTCCTCTTAAATGTGGGCAACTAAATCAATATGTTTTAAAAACTCTTAGGGCAAAATTATGGTGATCCTGAACATGTGTTTCAGTAAGAGTATAAAGAAGGTTGGGGAAACGCCTGAAAGGGAAATTTGTCCTCTGGTGTCTATTTTTTTCTGTTGCGTCTTCCGTTTTCACAGTTTTTCTTCCATTATGCAAATTTGCCACTAGAGGTCACTATAGAGTTCTACTCCCACACACCCTGTGTTTAATGCCGGATCTACCCTGAGAACCTTACAGGTTTTGAGTAAATTATGCCTGAAACATTGCTGGAGGCAGAAATGACAAAACTGAAACTGTCCTTCGGGCACGTCATGAGAAGGCAGGATTCTTTGGAAAAAACAATAATGCTGCGATAAACAGAAGGCAGCAGGAAAAAAGAAAAACCAAATATGAGGTGGATAGATGCCATGAAAGAAGCCATAGGCTTGAGTCTCTAGGTGCTGAGCAGGGCTCTGGAGAGAGGACATTGTGGGCATCACTCATCATAGTCTCACCAGGAGTCAGAGCCGACTCAATGACTTGTAACGACACCAATGATCAGGCCAGGTAGTATCAACAAATCTGCCTGAAGGAGGCTCCAAACTCATACTTGACCCAAGGTCAGTGCCTGCTCCTCACATTATAAAGACCTGACTCGTCCATCCAGGTGACCAAGAGTGAAGAGACCCATTCTTTTCCTGTGGCCTCATGTTCACATAGGTGGCTACCTATGTCATCTGGTTGCCAGCAATGATGACAGTTTACTGATTGTCACTCAGCCTCTGTAGAGTGTTCTGCAAGATGCTGAAAAGAGAACAGGACCTACAAATACAAGGAAAAGGATCATGCAGGACAACACATGAACTAGTGTGTGTAAGTGCTACAGAAATTCCAAGAATGATTAATGAAGTGATTCTCTAGGAAAGCAGGAGGTCACATGAAGAACAGAGTTCTCAGAGGCCAATCAGTCCAGGCAGAAGAAGGGATGAAAGCTGGATTTTAGGCTGATTTTCATTTTCTCCTTCCTGCCTTAGTAAAGTCTGAATCTTGGGGTATCCTGAAGCTAAGATGTGGCATTGGATATATATCAAGATCAGCCTCTGCTCCCCCTCCCACGACTGCCTAAGAGAAGTTGCTTTCCTCTACATTATAAAATTCATTTGTCATTTATTGACTTGACAAATATGTATTGTCAACTGTGCCCCAAGCACTCAGTGGTAAATAAGACAGCCACAGGCGCGATGGGCCCTCTTAGACATTATAGTCCAGTGGAGACACAAAGATGTCCTCTGATTGCAGTGCAGTGTGACAAGTCCTATGAGTATAAGTCCCCTGACGAAGACAGGAAGTCAAGGAAGGCTTCCTGGAGGAAGTGCTATTTAATCGAGACCCTAAGCAGAATGGAACTAGGCCATGTAAGAAGAGAATAAGTGTGTTTCAGGCAGAGATAACACAGCCCAAAAGAAAAAAAAGTCCGAAAAAGAATCAAATAGGGTTTTATTTTGTATATGCAGTTTTGGATCTCGCTGTTTTACATTTACCCTTTTTTACCCTAAGTCTCCATATCAGTGACTATTCTTGAAAACGTGACTCCCAAACTTCATTGGGAGTCCAATGACTAATTTATTTACCTTCTTTCAAAAGGAAATAGCATTTTTAAGGCTCATATGAATCACTCTCCCCTTATCAATATAAAATCATGTGAAATCTTTCTTTATTAATTATATTAATATCCACAAAATCTCCTTCGTTTGACTACCTGTTGAGAGCAATTTCTGCGACCTAACCTGATATTCACTCACAACAAGGTATAAAGTATTGGTCTACGAAATACTGGTTAAATGTAACTATTTGTAAATTTCGCTGCAATTGTTTTGAATGAATTGCCTTCGGTTTTGAATGAATTGCCTCTGGAATTCTGGGGCTTTAAGATTCTTGCATCATCCTCAGAGTCCCCCTCTGTGTCCTTCAGTTTTAATCTCTCCCAAATCTGCATCTCAGCTCCCCGTCTCTGCCCTCCCCATCTCAAGCACCGCCCCCTCCTACCCTCCC